AGTACAAAGCAGAAGCAGAAAGAAAGAAAGAAACAGCAAAAAGAAACAGAAACGTAAAAAAAAATAAGCAATCGCAAAATAACGCTGAAAACAAAAACGCACCTTCCTTCGGTTTTCCAGTTATGTTTTTTTTTCCACGTAGGCAGGAGGTAAGCTGCAGGGAGAAGCTTTTATTCACCAAATTGAAGCCATACTTTTAGACAATACTTTCGTTTGTTTTGGTTCGTTACGTAAAAAAGGACGTGGGTAGGGAAAGTTTGGCGTGCGTTGAGCTGATTTGGCGAATCCAACTCCAACGCGTAACGCCACGGGGGTCATTTAGTTTTCTTTTCTTTTTTTTTTATTTTATTTTTTGGAGTATGTTTTCAGTGTTTTGGTCCACATACGGGTAATTACGCGCTTTTCTCATATGGAAAATATGAGCAGTGAAAAGGAACCACAAATTACCGTTACACAATGCGTAATTTCGTGAGAATATATGAACATTTTGAATTAATTATAAGAAATACACAGTGATGGAGTTGAAAAATGCGCATGTGCCATCTCAAAATCAGCCTGTGTCAGCTTTTTTGAATCTATATTCTCTTTGTTTACTCGTACAATACATATATGATTGAATAGTTTGGTGCGTAATCGTGCGTAATCGTGCGTAATGTTCAAAAACAAACCCAGAAACGCTGTGTCAAAAGAACATATATTTATTAAAAGAGTCCAGTCCGCTTACATTAAAACAGAGAAGACACGACCACAAGAAACGGACAAAACAATATTCATAACATACAACTCATTCCTTAAGAAAGACTAACACTATGTACAATAAATTAGAAATATGCCATAAGATTAATTACGAAATGTCTATTCATTTTAATATGCATTCCCTCCCATTGAACACAAACAATGTAACTCGAGGCATGCGCAATTCATGTAAACATTTTTCGATTTGTTTATTTTTTTTGTTCGGTTTTTTTTTTGTGTGTGTTTTTGTTTTTTTCTTTCTTAAGACTCGCCGCGTATGCGTAAGGTACAGCGGAGTGGGACGCCGTTCATTTGGAGCCCACTCGAAATGAGCTGTTGTAAACGTTGTAAAAGCCAATGTCTGTGTTTATGACGCGTCCATAAAAGTGCCAATTTGGACCGCGCCAAATGAGACACCCGGCAGCAAGAGCGCGCCGGAAGGACGGACGGACGGACTGCGGGAGAGACACGACGCGCGTCCTCGTTCGTGCTCACCCCGGGCTAATGAACACAACTATAAACGACTAAAGCGGACGAAATACAAAACACTTGGAATGAGGAGCCGGGAATGCGCAGTCGGCGTGCGTAACCGTAACGGAGGCTGTGCGCAAGTCTATCCACGGGTTTCAAAATGAGGAAAATTAAACTCGTTGCCATGGGGATTAACGATTTAAAACAATATAGACCATCTCGTGGAAAATAGTTCTCAAAATGTTGCATATAAAACGAAGCTGGAACCCATGGATAACGTAGGAAATGAACCCGCATTGCATAGAACAGTCACGGAAGGGGTTAACGTGAAAACGAAACCAGAGCCGGTTATTTCATCCGTCGCCACAAAAAACCAAAACATAAAAAAACACGTATTTGCAAACACGTTGTCATAGTAACCGGGCTCTTTAACAGTTTAGCCCTCTTGTGAAATCAATACACCGACTTAAATACTCTATCTGAGAAGCGGCGGCTGCTGCGTAAATGTGTGCGTAAAAGTGTGATCCACGGCTCACAGTGGCGGTGCGTAAAGAGCGCACAGGCAGGCCCGATATGGCACAAAAGGATGAGTCGGGACTGCGTGGCTTTCCGAGGAGGGTCTGTCTGTCTCTCTGTATAGTGCTTTACAAAACCTGAGTGCAACAAAAGTATAGATTTGCAACTACAATTAATTAAATAAGAAAAAAATAGAAATCAAGGAAATATTAAGATACAATTTGGAAAAAATAAAATATAAACGTCAAGAGCTTTCGTTTTTGGATATTTTTGAAAGGGTTGTGGTGGGGTAATATAAACCTACTGTAACATTTTTTCAAAGATTATTATTAAAAACAAAATAAAATAAAAATTAAATAAAAATGTTATATTTCAAATTTAATCAAGGATGCACTTCTATTACGCACACAATATTTACAAAAAATCCGGTTTTCATTTTAATTTAAGAAAGCAAACATGAACACATTTTAACTAGGCAGAAAAAATTAATCAGCTTTGCTTGTTAAAACCACAATCCATATTTGGAATTACCCGGAAAATATTACGATTTTCAGTTTGCTTTGAATTAGAAACGGCGAGGTTTTTACGCATGTGCCATTTTACGCATCGGATTTATGTACAATAATAATAATAATAATAATAATAATAATAATAATAATAATAATAATAATAATAATAAAAGGAGGACCCTGTGCGTATGTCACGTTGAATTTGGGGAAGATATGTGTGGTCTGTAGCCAACTATCTGGAGTGCGTAAAGACATAAAACACTGGTAGGCGGCTGACGCTTGAGACGCCGCATATCGACTGCCTCTAATCGGATCCGAGGCTTGTGCTGAGTCGGTTATCATCCTCCCCCGGACCCCCCCGGTACTCCCCCGCTCCCCCCGCTCCCCACGGCCCCCGCTATCTGCTCATTACTTAGACCGTCAGCGCGGTAACTAATGGCGCCCGCTGTCTTGTATCACCGCTCCGCCAGACGAAGAGGGAGAAGGAGAAGAAGAAGAAGAAGCCCCGTTTACGGTTCTAATCAAGCCGCCGCCTCGTGCGCAATGACCACGCGAGGGGAGGGTAGAGTACGAGAGAACGAGAGACACGGCGCCTTCCTGAGAGGGGGGAGAGAAGGGGAATTAATGACCACGCGGGCTCCGACACCTCCGCGCTCGCGTTCTGTCAATAAATAACCAAATGAAGTGCGGTGCGTCGTGAGGGATGGCGAAAGGGGGAAGGCCCGTATCTGCGGCTGTGTCTTCTCCAACCCCCGCACCCACCCCTTCCCGTCGTGCAGTGGGGTAATCAGAGCGCGGAGTAAGCGTTCTCGTGCGGGGAAAAAAAAAGGAGAGATTCGGTCACGTGATTCGGTCTGGAGAGGGCCGATTTGTTTCACGGACAGACAGAAAGGTGTCCGCGTTTTTTGTGCTGATTGCGAGGGTCAGAATGTGGTCAGAACAGCGCATTCCATCATCTACAGGCCTATTGTATTGTCACGTACGCGACCGAGTCAGAAGTTTGGACACGTCAGCTCATTTAAGTGTCTTTACGTTTGCCATTTTTCTATTTTAAATTCGTACGGAAGACCTCGGAACAAATGTTAAATAACGCGTAATTTAGACACCAATCCTCAAAGTATCCACCCCTTTGCTTTGTCGACAGCTGCAAATCTTTGCGCTTCATCATCTCATCTCCTGAAATGGTTTTGGCTTCACAGCTGGGCCAAAAGTGCAAAAACCAGGGTTCAATGCAAAGGGTACACTCGACAAAAATGACTAAATGAAGAACATTTGATTTTATTTGAGCAGATTCAACTATTAAAACGATGTACCAGTGGATTAAGTGTGTTTTTCTTAATTCAAGCAACATAAAATTGTCTTATTTTAACTGTAGCAAGATGTATTTTTATATTTTAAGCAAAGTTGCTTAGTTGTGAAGTGAAATTTACTCAAATCATGATAAAACTCTTAATTCAAGTCATCTTAACTTGACTAGATTTTGTTTTTTTGCAGGGTAAAGCTGTTTTTCTTTAATTATTTCATCTAAATTTTGAGTTATTTTGCAATTTTATTTAGAATTTGCGGCATTTCATCCGTTTTGACGCTTCAATAATCATGAAACTCAAACGGAAACGTGTCCAAACTTTTAACCGGTCGTGTAAATACGCAGCTATTTCATTATACAACCAACAAAAAAATAAAATCAAATCAAAAACAAAGTCACAAATTATGTAACAAACGTGTAATAATCGTGAGAGTAGAGCTGAGCAGAAGTTTCCTGGCCGCTTCTTGTTTTCGTGTCCGTGTTTTGTTGCGGCACGAGCGCCAGGGTTCGGATCCGTAAAGCTATTGACCTGCTGCGTGTGGAGTCCTGGTTCTGTCTCTGGGCTTAAAGGCGCACTACGGAACTTTTCCAGCGGAGGCTCCTTCCACCTGCGGGTCTTAACATGTCACGGGTCAGATCTGCGCAGAGGCGAGCCCACTCACAGTAAGAACACGAGCGTTTTTGAGCCTTAAAACTTCCGACAATTAAATACATCCTGTAAGTTTAATGCCATACTTTGGAATTTTTCATGTAACGCTTCAAAAAGTAATGAAAGTAAAGTAAAAATGACTTAAATTAAGACAGTTTTTTGACTTTATTTGAGTAGATTGAGCTTGACAAGTAAACTTAACTTAAGCGGTGTTCGATTTGGTTTTTGATCGAATTTTAAGAGCAAAAAGTCGTTGTTTTTCTTATTTTAAGTGTAGAAAGATATATTTTTGTATTTGAAGAACAAAAAATCTTGTTCCTTTGGTAGATAATTTAAGTTGTGAAGTGAAATTTACTGAAATCGTGATCAAACTTTCTACTAAATTATCTACCAAAGGAACAACAACAACTTTTTACTCTTAAAATTCGATCAAAAATCAAATCGAACGCCGCTTGAATTAATCCATTGCTCGATAATTTTACTTCTCAAGCTCGATCTACTCAAATAAAATCCAAAAAAGTGTCTCGATTTAAGTCATTTTCCTTTACCTTGATTACTTTTTGAAGCGGTGCGTGGAAAATTCCGAAGTATGGCATTAAACTAATAGGATTTCTTTAATTGTCGTGTTTTTAGAGCTCATGTCGTCTTAACTTGTCAAGATTTTCGGGGTTTTTTTTGCAGGAGATGGAGCGTCCAGCAGAAAAAGTTACGCAGTGCACCTTTAAAAGCGCGTGTATTTGCGTGTGCACGTGAGTCCAGACCAGCCCGGCCCGGCCCGGTACAGTCTCCTTCCCGGGGGATGGGGGGGGCCTCTTCAGTCCTTGGGCTGGTCTTTGCTCTGTTTCTTCATCTTCATGCGCCGGTTCTGGAACCAGATCTTGACCTGGCGCTCGGTGAGGTTGAGGGCGCGCGCCACCTCGTGCCTCCGGTCCCTCGTGAGGTACATGTTGAAGAGGAACTCCTTCTCCAGCTCCAGGGTCTGGTATTTGGTGTACGGGCAGCGCTTCTTCCGCGAGGAGCGCGCGTGGAGCCAGTTGGCCGAGGGGTCGTCTGCGGGAGAGGGACACAAGAGACAGAGACAAACGATTACGATTACGATCAATCAAACCGGAGCACGCGCCTTCTAACCCGTGCATATCGATCCTCTGTGTGTGTGTGTGTGTGTGTGTGTGTGTGTGTGTGTGTGTGTGTGTGTGTGTGTGTGTGTGTGTGTGTGTAGTGTAAGTGTGTGTGTGTGTGTGTGTGTGGTGTATGTGTGTAAGTGTGTGTAAGTGTGTGTGTGTGTGTGTGTGTGTGTGTGTTGGGGGGGTAAGTGTGTAAGTGTGTAAGTGTGTAAGTGTGTAAGTGTGTAAGTGTGTGTGTGTGTGTGTGTGTGTGTAAGTGTGTAGTGTAAGTGTGTGTGTGTGTGTGTAATGTGTGTAAGTGTGTGTGTGTGGGGGGTGTAAGTGTAAGTGTAAGTGTGTGTGTAAGTGTGTAAGTGTGTGTGTGGTAAGTGTAAGTGTGTGTAAGTGTGTGTGTGTGTGTGTGTGTGTGTAAGTGTGTGTAAGTGTGTAAGTGTGTGTGTAAGTGTGTGTGTGTGTGTGTGTGTGTGTATGTGTGTAAGTGTGTGTGTGTAATGTGTGTGTGTGTGTGTGTGTGTGTAAGTGTGTGTGTGTGTGTGTAAGTGTGTGTGTGTGTGTAAGTGTGTAAGTGTAAGTGTGTGTGTGTGTGTGTGTGTAAGTGTGTGTGTGTGTGTGTGTGTGTAAGTGTGTAAGTGTGTGTGTGTGTGTGTGTGTGTGTGTGTGTGTGTGTGTGTAAGTGTGTGTAAGTGTGTAAGTGTAAGTGTGTGTGTGTAAGTGTGTGTGTGTGTGTGTGTGTGTGTAAGTGTGTGTGTGTGTAAGTGTGTGTGTGTAAGTGTGTAAGTGTGTGTGTGTGTGTGTGTGTGTGTGTAAGTGTGTGTGTGTGTGTGTGTGTGTAAGTGTGTGTGTGTGTGTGTGGTGGTGTAAGTGTGTAAGTGTGTGTGTGTAAGTGTGTAAGTGTAAGTGTGTGTGTGTGTGTGTGTGTGTGTGTGTGTGTGGTGTGTGTGTGTAAGTGTGTGTGTGTAAGTGTGTGTGTATGTTTCTCCGACATTGTTGAGAAATAATTATATATAACTTTATTTACAGACTCAGGGTCCAAACCGTACACACACACACACACACACACACACACACACACACACACACACACACACACACACACACACTTACACACACACACACACACACACACACACACACACACACACACACACACACACACACACAAAACAAAAAAACCTACAGTGACACAAGGTCCATAGAGTTTAAATACATTTTGTGTAGAGAAGCAAAGACGATGAAATCTTCACATAAGAAGTTTATTTCTGATAAAAGAAAATTAAAAGTCAGAGTCTTTACTGAAACATATTAAAAATATTATTGATAGAAGACGAGGAGACATGTCCACACAGCAGGATTTAGTCCTGTTAAATCCTGGTTTAGACCTGGTTTAGTCCTGGTTTAATCTTGGTTTAGACCTGGTTTTAATCCTGGTTTGGACCTGGATTCAGACCTGGGTTTAGACCTGGTTTAGATTTGGTTTGGACCTGGTTTTAGTCCTGGTTTTAGACCTGGTTTTAGTCCTGGTTTGGACCTGGTTTTAGACCTGGTTTAGACCTTTGGTTTGGTCCTTTTAACCTGTTTGACCTTTAGTTTTAGTCCTGGTTTTAGTCCTGGTTTAGTCCTGGTTTTAGTCCTGGTTTAGATCTGGTTTAGTGTTTGGCAATGAGTGGCATTACTGAAGAACAAGAAAGAAAAAACAAAACAAAAAAAAAACAGGAAAATCCCGCCATGTAATCCATTTATTTCAACAAAGTAACTGTAATCCAATTACCACTCACTGAAACAGTAACTGTAACTGAATACAGTTACTCATCATTTGTACGATGATTACGTAACTTCGGTACATGTAATCTGTTCTTACTTCTTCTTGTAATCTTACTCCCCAACACTGATTATAATTCCATTTAACCTACACATACATTTATACATGAGCCGGAATGTGGGAATATTTTCCATCACAAACAAAGCACGAGCACTTTCCCACCCTGGAGTCTTCTGAGAGCGTCATTATACTCCACCTTCATCTTATTCATCTTTGTTTTGCTGTAATGACACGATAGTTGAGCTGTGTACAGTGGGGTACGGTGTGATCCAAAAAAAAAAAAAAAAAAAAAGTCGTCTTGACATTGTTTGTACACATGTGGAATTTGCGCGCCAACATAATTGAATACACGCGCAGAAAGTACGTGTTTGGAATTCTAATTTTCAGTGCCTGTGTGTAGTTACTTCTTTGTTTGGTGATATTAATTACGTTTTCAAATTACTCTTCTCATCACTGGTCACCGAGTCAGAGAAAACAAAGAAAGGCAAGAGAAAGATGGACACACCTCTTTGGCGCACCGGAACCCAAACGCACCAAACACGCCACCGCTGGATTGACATTTCCTTTGATTTGATTGATTAATTTGGGTCACAGTTTTATTCTGACATTATTTACCAGACATATTTACACACAGACTTAAAAGGTGTGACTTTATTCTGCCTCTACGCTTTACTCCTTTGTCAGAGCGTCATCTTGACACCAGTTCATCTTCAGAAATACAGCAAAAGGAAATAAACAAATCAGAAACAGTGCAACAAAACACTTCAGCACAAACTAAGCATCATAATTCACGTGTCTGTCCAGAGTTAAACAGTTAAACTTTTTTTATAAAGTCGAGGAGAGTGTGCGCAATTTTAGGTTTTGTGCGCAATTGTTCCAGCACTTTAACAAAAATTCATAATGTTTGTTCTGATTTTAGAGTCTCGTGAGGATGTGCGTGGCTTTTAATTGAGTATTTAAGTGTTGTTAGTGTAAATTCCAGTGCGCACCATAAGTCCTTGGTCCTTCCATGCGCGGATGAAACGGGCCCAAAAAACAAACGCGCCGCGCCTGTGCCTGTGCCATGTGCCGGAGCCGCGCGCGCAAACACCTGCCCGTGCCTGACTGTAATTGACACGTCCGCGCGTAAAGCGGCTTTATGGTGTCAACAGGGCGCACTTTGGCTGCGCGTAAATCCACATTCACTGCGCTGTTCGAATGGAGCGGACTGACGGAGTGCGCGCTCGTAAATACAGACAGGACGGGGACAGTGCGTAAAACGCCCTATTAAAATCCATAATCCGTAAATCAGGACGGTTAAAAGTGTAATTGATCGGTTAGATACTCTTTACAAGTCAGACAGCACGACAGATTGTTTTAAATAAACAGATTGCAAAAAAAAAAAAAAAAAAAAAATCTCAATCACTCAGGCCCCACAGTGACATGACTGAACTGAAGATACACAATTCAGTTTAATGTTAATATTGTAATAGGACAAATGTTAAAAATCACACATTTAGCTCTACAACTCTATAAACACATCATGACAGAATTTATTTTTTATTTTTTTCCTTCACGCCAAAAAGACATAATTTGTGCTTTTTTAATTAAGAGCTAACACTGCAAGCAAACCTTTTTATTTTTTTTTTTTTTTTTATTTATTTATTTTTTACTAAGAGCTGACATTGCAGGCAAACCTTTTATTTTTATTTGTATTATTATTATTATTTTATTAAAAGCTGACACTGCAGGCAAACCTTATTATTTTATTTATTTATTCATTTATTTATTATTATTTGTTTATTAAGAGCTGACACTGCAAGCAAATTTTATTTTTCTGTTATTTATTTATTTATATATATTTTTTTTACTAAGAACTGACACTGCTGGCAAACCTTATTTTTTATTTATTTATTTCTATTTATTAATTTTTAACTAAGAGCTGACACTGCAGGCAAACCTTATTTTATTTTATTTATTTATTATTATTTTGATTTTTTATTAAGAGCTGACACTGCAAACACACCTTATTTTATTTATTTTTTATTTTATTATTATTATTATTTTTATTAAGAGCTGACAATGCAAGCAAACTTTTTTTTTTTTTTTTTTTAAATACATTTTTATTTATTTATTTATTTATTGTTACTAAGAGCTGACGCTGCAGGCAAACCTTTATTTATATATTTATTTATTTTATCTTATTTTTGTTAAGAGCTGACACTGCAGACACACCTTGTTTTAATTTATTTATTTATTTATTTTTATGTATTCCAGTTTGCTCACATGACAACAACACCTTTCACGTGGAAACCATTTTAAGTCTATTTTCAATCAAATTTATAGTTATTGACTAAACAGTGAATAAAAAAATCCAAAAATGTTTAATATGCCAACAACATTTAGCGTTCCAAGTTTCAGATTTATGTCCCACTTAAAGGCCATTTGACTCGTTACAGGAAGAGCAGCTTGTAAAACACCTTTTTTTTTTTCATTTGTGTAAATAAACTCAAGTACAGAAACTTACATTTACATTTTCCTCTGCAGAGTCCAGATCCTTAGAGAAAAAAAAAAAAAAAAAAAAAATCTGCGTATAAAACGAAACACAAAACCACGGTCGTTTTCTCTTTTCACAAACAACAAACATGTCGGTCACGTGACTTTCCCCCCGCTGCTTCTTTTGTTCTGTCTGAAACCGAAGCTCGTGCACATCTGGCTCCGCGTGCGTCCCCGTGTGCGTCCCCGTGCGCGCGCTCTGGAGAGGACAGGACGCGGCGCAGGGATATTTACGGCCGAGCGGGGATCCCTCTGCTCCTTTCATTACGCTTCAAAAGAAACCCGAGGATTTTCAGCGCGTTTAGCTCCATAAAGCGGGATCAAGCTCGAGTGCGTCGGCTCGTGACGTCGCACCGTAACACGCACAAAACATTTTCAACCTCGTAACGTCCACAAACACGGAATTAGAGCTCCGTAATGTCATTGTTTACTTCAGGAACACATTATACTTTACGCACTACTTTTCCAGCCTCACACTTTTACTCCTTTACTTTTACTGACGCAAGTAACAGTACTTTTACTCGAGTGCATTTGTTCTTTACATTAGGCCTGTTTTATTTTAAAATTATAAA